TTCCAACCCAAATCATTCTATGATTCTTTCAGTATGACATTTGTATTAAAATGTTGACAGTTTATTGTTGACTGTAAAGTGCGATTAATTCAGCAGCAATATCTCTGTTCAGAAAGGTAGATGTGCACATGCATTACTTCCAAGGTACAACCACGGTCTTTATGCTTCAGATGCAAGTATTTGTTTTCAATGAGCAAATGTATAGTATTATTAAAAAGGCAGTTCTATATTTATATGTATTTAAGAATAGAAGAGGGAAGCAAAAAAATAGGAAGTCAGAAATACCTTTTTTTGCTTGCATCCATCTGGGTAAATGGGCAAAAGTTTTTGCCTGGTTAATTTTCAGAAACTGCCTCTGATTTTGGAAAATTTGAGAAAACAGGAAAAACTATACTTTGCAAGCTTTAGGGGTAATCTTTTTTTTCTCAAAGTAACATGTTTTTTGTTTTGTTTGTTTGTTTTTAAATGTAGGATAATGATTTTGAATCTGCGGGTGGACTTCTAGGTGCAACTATGGGCAGACTGAGAACACTCTCCAGAGGAAGCCAGACAAAGCTATTATGCTATATGATGCTCTTTGCCTTTTTTGTTTTTTTTGTAATATACTGGATTATTAAACTGAGGTGATGCATGTTACCTTCGGTTTAAATTGTGTAATTTCAACTATAAAGCAGTCTTGATTAATGGAGACATTGATCTGAAGTGGCATATTCTGTTGATAAAAAAACAGTGAAATTGTTGTAAATTGCATTAACTATTAATGCAGTGTTATATATAGTTTTCTTAATGTATCAGAATTTTTCCCATCATCCTCTGTTTTGGGGGGGATTATTTGTAAATATGCAGAAACTGCTAGCCATAGGTTGTTTTTTTAGAGGAAAATAGTTTTTAGAATTGATTGAAAAAAAACCAGAAAGCGGTTGTTTGGATGTGAAGTAATTGCAGAATTACAAGACTTTCTCTTTCATTCTGCGTTTCATTCTGGGCCATGCTCTAAATTTGAGCTCCCGTTTCAGGCATACGGGAATTTCTTGGTTGCAAAGGATGAAGAATACTTGGATCTTTCTAAATTGGTTTTATTAGTGGATTTTTAAAAGGCTGGCCTGAAACTAACAAATGTAATAGTAGTACCCCCAAAACTAATTTTTGTGGATAGGTCTGATAGTATATGTGTTTAAATAGCTTAAACTGTGTGTTTTAGGGAGAAGTTACTTAAAATTGTTTTTTGGGGTTTTTTTTATTTCAATGTGACAAATGCTTACACATCTACTTTTTGAAGCAAATGCCTTTGGTCATTGGGATCCACCAATATGGACACAGTACAAATATCTTCTTTATATTTAAAGTATATAAAATGTAATGATTCCATTGAATCACTAGAACTTTAACCATTACTATGTTTACTTTTCAATCTGTGATGATCCCTGAATCTACACTGCATGATGTCTGAAATACAAGGTGAGATATTTTGAATTTTATATTAAAGCATATTATGATGCACCTATTGGAGGTGCTGTCATACTAAGGTTTTTTATTTTGAAGACAGCTTTGGCTCACCAAATAGTTTCTAATAATTGAAGCTATCACATTGCTGAGTTTAACATTCAAAAAATTAAGTTTCCTAGATATTGAAATTGTATCTACAATTTTTGAAAAACTTTTTCTAGAAATACTGTATAGAATGTTGACATTAATAGCTAATTACAAGCTGACAAAGTGTTCTGCAGTATTCTAGCTACTGTTGGTTTTATACATTCTTTTCTACTGTAGAATAAAAATTATTTTTTTGGAAATGGTGCTGCATTTAAAGGGCTATGCTTGTGCGGGGAGCATAAAGAAACAGAAGTGTATGCTACATTTCCTTCATGTTGCATTTCATATATGATGGATATGTGACATGTAAATCACTTACCTAATAGAGAACACTTAAACAGAATGTGTAAAAGTAATTAAAGCTCAAATATTTCTAGCTGATTCAATTTTTGACTGTTAGAAGGTCTACAATACTACAAATAACAGAACATCTAAGTACTAACACCTGGATAATGTGTCGTTTTTATATGAGAATTGCTAGGCTTGTTAAAAAAGTATAGCATTCCCAAAGCTAGTCAATAGGATATAGTTTGCCATCTGAAATTGATGCATTTGTATAATTTTAGTGAGACAGCAGAGTGCAAGGTACCCAGTGAGTGAGATGATAATTACTGACCTCTCTGTTTGACAACCACACTCCCCTGATAGTTGATCATCTTCTAGAAATATATTTCTGGCTCTTAAACATGATGTCTGAAAAATTGCTAGGCATTATTTTCTTAGCAATCTGACATACCAATACATGGAGAAAGTTTAACTACCTAGTAAAAAGTAGAAAAATGTGTGGATGCAGCTAGATATATGGCTGATACAGTGCCTGTCTTTGTTCTAAAAAATTTGCTAGAGTGTCCCGTAAGACTTGACAGAGCACATACTGGTAAAAATCTTTTACCAATCCTTCATGTTTAAAGCAGACGAGATTTTAATTTTAAATGTCAAACCAGATTAGAAGGTAATTAATGCAGAATGGGAACTAGGTCTTCTCTTCATTCAACACCCTCCCCCCACCTCCCTTCCCCCTGCCAGTTCTTCAAAATTCAGAGGAGTGAGGGGAAAGGAGGTCGGGGAGGAATCTTAAGCCTATGTCTTCCTTTCTGTGGTTCTTCATTTACAGAGAGGTGTCAATTTTTGGTAGTTGTTTACATAGGGTGCGAAACAGGGAGAAGGCTTAAACACAAGGAATATATGAAACCTCCAAAGAACTTTCTATGTTTATTAGAAAACACACAAGGGTTTTGTTTTAATTAAGTACTAAAACACAACTCTGTTAGGCTTTTAACATGAAGTTTCTGAACTGAAAGGTAATTGATTTACTTTTGGAGCAAGTACAGGATGTAACACATTTTGCTTTCTTCACTTCCAGTAAAAGGTCAATTTTCAGTTTTAAAATTGGAACTGAAATCCTGCAAATTTGCTTACAGTGGTCAGGGCGACTTATGTAAAGGTGAACTGCTTTGAGAATATTTCAGGAAGAGGAATGGCAATTGGTGGCAACGATGCATTGCAGCCTTAGAATTTTCCTCAGCATCTGCACTTTACTGGTAATTTTCTAGTAGAAAAGTATTACTCTGATAGTCCTTAAAATTCACAAATAGCAACATTTCAGCATGCTATAGTATGATCTTGTACAATAAAATACGCTATGCAGTGGCTATGATAGAAGAATACTAGTAGCATTTAATTGTACTTTTACTAAGTTGAGGTTAGCAGCAGCTGCATAGGAATACTCCAGTTACCTTTATTAGTGGTTTTGAAATCTGGTACATAGTTTACACAATATTTATATATTGTGTTTCTTAATTTAATGTAATTTAGACTCTACCTACCAACCATATAGATTATTTCCAGCTGAAAGAAAATATCATCTCTTTAACTGTCAAACTGTTAACCTTACAGTAGCATGGAGATTCCTTAGAAAATGCTTTAACGCATCCAGTTGGTTACAAGAAAAGTTCCACTGAAGCTTTTTTTTTTTTACAATAAGGCAGGTTGACTTTTCTGACTTGAATCATAGAATCATAGATTGGTTTGGGATGGAAAAAGATTAGAGATCATCAAGTTCCAACCCCCCTGCCATGGGCAGGGACACCCTCCACTAGACCAGGTTGCTCAAAGCCTCATCCAGCCTGGCCTTGAACACCTCCAGGGATGGGGCATCCACAGCTTCTCTGGGCAACCTGTTCCAGTGTCTCACCACCCTCACGGGGAAAAATTTCTTCCTAGTGTCTAGTCTAAATGGCTGTTGCTGATGTTGGTTTTAAAGGTATGGCTGATACAGAAGGAAGCTTTAAGATAGAAAGAAGATCAAATTAAGAATTTATGCTTATCATAGCAGAGGTATATTTCAGTGAGACTTTTTCTGTAACAAATCACAAAGTTTGAAAATACTTAGTATATGCTTCTGCTTTACAGGAGAAGTGACTGTGGCATATAACATAAGTTGTACCATCTTTCTTAAGTAATAACACACAGTTTTCATATTAACATGAGTTTTTAAAAAATATTTGTCTTTAATAATTATACACAAAACATGATACGTTACTGCTGAAGTTCAGGCCTCCAAAAACTTCAGATACAGTTAAACAGTTGTTTGTAGAATTCTACAAATAAAAATCAACTCCCACGTGCACCACCAAACATCCATGATGGAGTGTAGTACAAGTCGATGTGCACTTGGAAAAAATGACAGAGCTCATTTTGATGATTACTTTTTAAAATTGAAGGACAGGGAAGGTATTGCAATTGAGAGCAAAATCACTATTCCAATATTTTAATACGGTAGGGAATAATTTTTGCCTCGATTATTGATCTTGAAAGCAAAGGTACACTAGAATTACATTAGGCTACACGGGAAATCATAGCTGTATCCATATGGAGGTTATATTTCTTAACTGTTGGCTTAGATGCCCTAAAAGGTAGATGTACTGTGATTAAAAAAGACTGGGTGCTTAGTGTAGATCATTAGACTCCCCCTCAAAAAAAGTAATTCACCAAAAAAAAGGCAAAAAATTGCAGGAGGCCACATGCTTTCAGAGTGCTTTGTATCAATAGAAATTTGGTACTGGAGAACATGTAGAATGATAATGGTCACAGACCCTGATAAGCAGTTCATTGGCAAAGTTACTGTTATGTTTTCTACTCATTTTACCCTTGAAACATGTACAGGCTGTTACCTTCAGTGTGCGGTACAAGCCATGCTCTTGCTTGCTTAATTTTCAAGGAAGAGTGGAGGTATATCGCTTTCTTGGAAGTGTTTCCATGTATTTGTGTATGATGGAAATCATGGTTTCATCTGTACCACTTACTATTGATGTTAATCTCCAGTCTCTGTAGAAATATAAAGCGTAGATTTAAACATTTGCATGCTATACTGATGGAACAAGTACAGAACTGTACATACTGGCTGTGTATTTATTATGGAGCTGCTTTTATTACATTGAAACTCCTTGTTTACAGAAGTACGTACATGGTGTGGACAAATGTGTTGTGTACAGGGATGTTGTTAATTCAAAATCAAAAGACATAAGATGTAATTTGTGACATTCAATTTTCTGATTCTTTCAAAAATAACCTTAACTTGGCATAACACTGTGTTTTGATCTTTAAATATGTTAAAACGTCCTCTAGCATACAACTGCCCCTGCTTAAGCCCAGCCAGACCTCCTGCAGCTGAACTCCATACAGGCTTCGGGTTAGGTCTTGTCACTTTGCACTGGCATATAGAGCATCACAGGCTCTTCCCAGGGTTTTCCGCTGGACTGCCTGCTCACACTACCTACATATTACATACTAAATGGCAGTTGTCTGCAGAACAACCTCATCCGCTGTCTCCTCCTGGTGAGATGGTCTGCAATACCTCCCACAACATCCCTGCTGTTCCTTTGCCAAAGCTGTAGGTACCTAAGCCTGCAGGTGAATTTTAGGAGGGGAGGAAGCATTTTGAGGGCCAGCAGCAGAAAGTGTTTCGGCACTTAACTTTGCTTAACTGTGTGGTAAGATATTAGTCAATTGGTACATGAGGTATTGGAGAACTGTATGGAGCAAGTACATTTTAATGGAAGTTTTTTAACCAACAAGCATCCTGGTCTCCCTGATGGCTATGTGAGACCTAGCACAATCCATATTAATATTGTTCAGTGTGCTAGCCAGATTGCCAACTACTGCACCTTAAGCAATTTTCTTCACAAATTTCCTTTCCCCTTTGGGGAGAAGAAAAAAAAAAAACCATCAAAACACCATAGTTCTGCTAAAGTACCTCTGCATAGTTCAGTGGCCTGAAGATTCCCCACCAACATCTGCCTCAAAACTTCTGCACAGAAAAGTTGAAGCTACATATTTGTTTTGACAGATCACTGATGAATCGTTATTAAGTCTTGTCCCAACAGTCAGCTACTGACTTCAAAACAAATTGTTTTTGTCAGCAGAAATTGGTGGGTTTTCTTTTGTTTAGTGCAACCGTAAATTGTGATAATGACAGAGACTGATTAACAAAAGAATTGTCTACTCGTTCTAGTTTAGACATGCTTTGTAAAGAATGAAAGAACATAAATGAAATACAGAATGAAACTGAATAAAATATTTCAACTGACTTTTTAAATGTGAGCAATATAAAAACATAATTTAGAAGGAAATGCATTTTTGAAAAATTTCCACTTAAAACTATATAGAAGTTTGATTTTTAACCGTCCTTAATTACAAATAAAACTTCATATTGCAATACCTAGGTGACAGATGAGGGGAAAAAAATGTTTTCTTCTGCAGCTATGTGCATTTGCAATCCTATTTACACTATTTCAGATGAGTAATCAATATTTTTCACTATTACTTTCTCGAGTCTTTCACAATGCAGCAAGTAAAGAAGTCATAGCATTCTCCCCATCACACCCCACAAGACTAAAACCTGTAAGAACTGGCAGCAGTTAGACACAGTGTTTAGTACTGAGACACAATTTAAAAACAAACAAACTTTTGTAAGAAGGCCAGACATGTTATTCCTATAACAACTGGTGTACATAATTACTATTAAAATATGTAGAACACTACCTGACATTTTTTAAAAATCATGTTATGAAGTCTGCAAAATTGCAATATACTTGCTATAAAAAGTTTTCCTCCCTCTGATCTCCCACAACCTTGGGTTTTCATATAGATGGTGGATTTGTTCAAAAATTTATTTTTCTGAAGTCACAATGTCTTTCAGGCATTTCACACAGGAGAGAGAAAAACAAACACACACAGCTCCAATCTGTCTCTCTCCTCCTGAATCCTGCGAGTAGGGTAAAGTCTGGAAAGTCCACTCTTATTGTTTTTTACATTGGCTTGTATTGTTCTATTAAACCCTTTGATATTTGGGCTCAAATTTTTTTTTCAAACCCGTTCTTCCTTCTCAGAATCACTACAATTGAAAATGAGACATTAACATACATAAATTCAGCCCAGTATAGGCATCGACATGGTGAAACAGCTATCTTTATGCCTTCTAGAGAATACTGCACTTTAGAAAAGTCACGTGGTCTACGAAGTTTAAAAGACTAATGATTAAAATGACAGATGTGAATAAAGTAATTTGGCAGGCAATTTTGTGCTGGGTCTGTTTATTATCTCCCCACCAGCATCAATAACTAAAATTCAAAGCTTTCACACACTAACCGTGCATTATGCTATGTGCTCTTTGAGGAGTAACAGCCTGACTTGTGTCGAAGACTAATATTTCCTGGGAAACTTGGTAAGGATTATGCTACAAAAGTCTTCGTATATTATGACTGGATGTCACGCCATGCAGTTATGCTGCTTGCTACTTGACAAATATCACAGTGGCGTGAATGGTTACTCAGAGTGCTGTAAAGAAAATAACAGTTTTAGAAAGTTGTTGATTTGCTTATCATTACAGATTAACAAAATTCTGACTTGAACCTGTAATTGTTTATTTAGGTAATACTCTGCTTCTCCCTTCCTGCAGCTTATGATTACTTAATGATGGAATTTTACTGATTCACAGAAAATTTTAGAGTATAGAAATCACACCACCTTTAGTCTAATTTATAATGTTTATTCTAGAAGCAGAAAGATATGTTTCTTTAGCCAGCTGACACAGTTTACACCGATAGGAAGTACTCTGGATTTCTTCTCAAAGAAAAATGTGACTGTGCTGATGTACTTAGAAACCACTCTGGAATGCACACAGAAAAGCCCTGCCCACAGTTAGCAATAATATACTGGGGTACAAAATCTAAAGACAAATCAAAGCTATATAAAAGCACATACACATTAATCTATACACATTACTGCATTGACAGTAAGTGCTCCAAGACAACGATTCATTTTATTCCAAGTGCCTACTGCAGTAGCTTTCAACAGCTGCGTCACCAGGGACCATTGGCTAAGAAAACCCATCATATTGACAGCTGGCTTAAAACCACCACCATACAGTTGTCTGCACCTTGACCAGAAAATTTCAGGAATCTACATGTCAAAAAAGGTTGAGGATCCTTCTGACCTACCACAATGGCATTGTTGTTCATAAAATGCTGTTAGAAATAGGAAAAGTAACTCAATGCACCAAGAAGAAACAAGCTTTTTTTAAAGTGTTCTCTTCTCACATTACACAGATGCATTTACCAAAACTTTCAACTGAACTACCAATTTTGATAACCTTTGCTTAGGTATCCCATATATAAGGGCTGAACTGAAATATCTTATTGCAAGAAAATGCAAGTTCCATTTTGGTCCTTCTACAGAATATAAGACACTGGGGCCATAATTTTCCTAACAGCTGACAAGAAAACTGTTTGCTTAGAGAGAATTTTTCTCTAAGTAGGTATATGGTAAAATTTGATGGGACTTAATTCATTTGCAAAAAGGCCTCTGTACCGTTTTAATGATCTAACAACTTGCTGGAAAATGCTACATCTCTCGTACGTCTCACATGGTATCTGGTATGATGGATCAGGTGGAGCCTGCTATCACAAAGCATTACTGCAGGAGCCTAATGCTGAACTCCAGTTTCACACATATATTTGGGGAAAGAGATAAAGCTGATTTTCATTGGTTTTGGAAGACAGCTTATGTTTTGTTTTCGTTCTGCTCCTTTAATCAAGATTACAAGCAAAGAGCAAAGAGGAAAAATAAATCACTTGTTGGTAGGCTTCCCCTTTTTCTCCTTGTCCTATTGTCATCTGGCAAGAAGACTGTTGGGGAAAACAAGTAGTTTACTTCTTTCACCTGACATTCAAGCTAATCTGTGGGTAGTTCCAACTACACAGTTGTAATACAAGGTTGAGAGTTGGCAAAGGAACAGTCAGCCTACATCCTGACACACACATGTCACCACAACGTCAATGGGACTGTGGATGCCCTTGCACCCACAACGTACAACAATGATATGCCTTTCAGTGGAACAATACCATTCACACCAATTAGGAGCTCGTTCCCTTTTCACATGGCGATCTTTTTTTGGCAGGACATTTCATAGGCCAAATTTCAGTAAAGACATTTCCTGTCTTCACCACTCACTTGCTTACCTGTAAAACCTGCTCACCAGAACCTCGCTGATGAATCCCATTCCTCCCCAAAACTGGAGACAGCTATCCGTCACTTCACGGGCCAGACAACCTGCCTTTAGCTTAGCCATAGTCACATCGTTGCCTTCCACATAGAGAGCTAAAAAAAAAAAAAAAAAAAAAAAGCGGAGTTATGCACACAGTCACTGATCACAGCCTGCCTCTCTCTCTGGCAGCCACCTCCCCGTGCTCCCTCAGCCTGACAATGTTCTTTGCATGATGAGAAGCACACCTGGGCAGGCAGGTGTGGGAGCTCACCAACAGTGCGGTACAGCAGCGAGCGAAGGAGCTCCACCTCAGTCGCCAGCTCAGCCAGGCGGAAGTGCACGGCTTGGTTCTGCAGGACAGACTGGTTGAACATTTTTCGCTGGCGAATGTAGTCAATAGTTTCTTCTATTATGGTTTTCAGTGATGTCAGGACTTGAAGAAGCAAAGCACAGAACAAGTCATTGTTTTACCCAGATCTGTTGTTTCTTTTCTTGTTGAAAAAGGGTGTTTTTTTTCACATTGTACAAACAATACACAAGGTTTTCTATAGAAAATTATTCCATGTGCTCAGTTTGGGTGCAGAGTTTCAGTTCTTAAAAAGGTCTGATATTTCCTTGTACCTTGAAGACAGATTTTTTTTTTATCCCTATTTCACCTGACCCCCAACTGCCAAAACTTGGAGGAGAGGGAGAGAGTAAGGAAGAAAAGTCAGAGATCAGTGTGTAATGACAAGTATGTAAACTCTAACCTTCATGCCTCATTTGGGGCCCTCGTAAAAGCTTGTGGCAACTCCTGCTTTCCATGCTACCTGTGTCCTGAAGGTCTGTTACAATCCCGAAAGAAAATCTGAAAGCAGACAGTGTGCTGGCTGAGGAATGCTGTAGAGATGTAAATTCAAGGAAACTTTCAGGAAGAAAGCAGAAACCTGTTCAGAGATCAGAGAACATGAACAGACTGCTTACTACCTCTGCATTGTGTGATCAGATTCCAGCATAGAAAGGAATGGGAAAACCATTAAGATTCACACCCACTTTTAGTAAATGCTAAACAGTGCTTCTAATGGAAACAGAATCAAAAGAGGATACTGCTGGAAGACAGGTGAGAGAGATAGGAGACACTGCTTTAAAACAAGAGAACTAGTTCGCTGCTACTTTTGAGCAAACTTAGAGAGACTCTGTTTTAAACAGGAAGAAAAGGGAGAAGTTTGTTTTCTAAGGCAAACCAGACTTGAAGCGAAGGGCTAGGCTATGGTTTCTTGCAGCTTAGCTAGGATAACACCAGGTGCTGAATTTGTGGAAAATTTTGTTTGGCAAATGTGGACCCATGTCACTGTGGCAAGCAGTAGGAAGAAGGAGAGAGTTCACAAATCGATCTGCATGAGAAGGGTCACGTTTTCTCTTTTCAAAATATGCATATGCACATCCATCTCTATGTAGAATCTACACCTCAAAAATCTGAAATGCAAAATACAACCAAACTTTGGACTACTATTGTATAGTAGTCTCCAGTTACTCACATGACAGTTCCTTAGAGAAGACTGGTATGCTTCCATATTCCTTTTTACATAACTTTTAAGATCACCTCTGTTTAAATTTCATCCCTATATTGCTTTTATATGCAGACTTTGCAGCCCACCGGTTGCCCCCTGCCACAATCATTCACCAGCTCTTCCACAGAGCACTTTTTTTCCATATGCTCTCCCCATATTCCACAGGGTGATCAGCTTTTCTCATTCCTAATACTGGTTTTCTGGACCAGAAAATAAACTGCTCTTTTCAGGGATATCTCTTGTACAGAAGGAACATCCCTGTTCTTCCAGATGACCATGTAACACAACACTGTAACATGTACACTACTAACAGCGTTTACATTTGTACATCTATAGTCTCCAGCTTGAGAGATGCTACAGAAAGAGCGAGAAGTGTCCAGGTACCTCTCATCCCTTGCTCCCAAATTGATACCTGGGAAGCATACAGCTGAGTCTGAGCTGCTGTGAGGAAAACTAAACACTAGCTGCTGGGAGGGAAAATCTACAGTACCTGCCAGTGCTAGGAGAGCAGAAGGGATATAGGAGGGATAAAGACAAGGGATTAGTCTTGTGTTGGTCTATCAGAGCAAGGTGCTCCAGCATGACTCTTGTGGTTCTCAGCATCCAGCACCAGAGAAAGAAGAGATGGGCAACAGCAAAGAGGAGGCAGGAGCAGGACTGGGTGGGAGGAACAGAACAGCACCTGTTTAGGTCCTGCTTGCCAAAAGGCTGAAGTTCATGAAAGGGTTTTAGCCCATCCTACTCAGGCTATCACCATGCATCAGGGCTAGGAGTGGGGTGCCTGAGAAGACTCCTCTCTCAGTGTCCGCATCTCTGCTTCACTGCCTCCTTCCTGCCCCATGGCTCCGCTGATCCATCCTCCTGTTTCCTCAGCTGCCATCACTGCCCTTCTGCTTTTTCCTGGAACTTCTATTTGCACACAGAAATAAACAGAGGAAATCTTCTAAGGACAGTCCTGGACTGCATGGAAAGACGTGTCACCAGCAGGTCAAGGGAGGTGATCCTCCCTCTCTACTCTGCTCTCATGAGACTCCACCTGGAGTACTGTGTCCAGCTCTGGAGTCCTTCAGCACAGGAAGGACAGGGACCTGTTACAGCGAGTCCAGAAGAGGGCCACAAAAATGGTCAGAGGGCTGGAGCACCTCCCCTGTGAGGACAGGCTGAGAGAGTTGGGGTTCACCCTGGAGAAGACAATGCTCTGGGGAGACCTTGTTGCAGCCTTTCAATATATGAAAGGAGCTTATAAGAAAGACCAAGAGAGACTTTTTACCAGAGGATGTAGTGACAGGACAGACAGGACAGGGGCACCAGTTTTAACCTGAAAGAGGGTAGATTTACATTGAACATAAGGAAGAATGTTTTGGGCTTGGAACTAAATGAACTTTAAGGTCCTTTCTAACGCAAACCATTCTATGATTCTAAGAAATTCTTTATTATGAAGATGCTGAGATCCTGAAACAGGTTGCCCAGAGAAGCTTTGGATGCCCCACCACTGGAAGTGTTCAAGGTCATGTCTGATGGGGTTTTGAGCAACCTGATCTAGTGAAAGATGTCCCTTCCAACTCAAACCATTCTGTGATGCTGTGACTACAGGTATTTGGAGCTATGAGCATAGCTCTAACATGGCAAAACTTATCTGTGCAGCAGACGATAACGCAGCATGTCGTGAATACCATGACTGCCAACAGCCTTGCACAACATAATAGCACACAATACTTCACCAGTCATATAAGTACAGAGAAATGCCATTCTTAACGTGAAACTAATTTTCTCTCTGAACTTTTTTTTCCCCTATGTATTTGTTTCCTCTTTTGTCATATAATGTTCTCCACATCTTCAGACAAACTTGGCCCCACAGGTTTCAACTGACAGCACATGCACGAAATGTCACTCTGGCGCAGCCTAAGGAAGGCATGGTCTATCGTACAGCTGAGAATTGTGAAAGTGCTTGAAGTTGCCAGATGCAGAATAATCTTTTCCCTGTACCTCCATCCAACTTAGATTTTTCCACTTGACTTCTGCTCACTGTAAACACATTTTGCCTTGCTACATCTCCTCTCAAAACAAAGGGAAATTAATATATTTTTCTTAGTCTCTGGCTGATCACTCTCTAGTGAGATGTACAGTGAGCTCCAAGCTGAGCAATCTGTCTCTTAAAAGACGTGCATTGCCCATGCAAAAGGATCTGTCATCCTGCTTACTGGCCATGACTCAATGGTGCTCATAAAACTGAGACTACAGGAGCAGATAGAAGTAATTAGAAAAGTGCCATTCTGCTCTCTCATGCACACTGAACTCCCTCTTTGCCTCCAAGTTAAGCAATTCAGAAAAAAACCTGTTTGCTTTCTTGCCATAGCAACATTCTTTTCCTGTGATCAATGCAACAGGTCCAAAAATGGACAGTGTTTACAGAGTGTCACAACATGGGAGAAATAGAAATTAGTTTTGCATTTATATTTTAAACCTGTTCAACTCAAAATTCACAGAATCACAGAATCACAGAATGTTAGAGATTGGAAGGGACCTCGAAAGATCATCTAGTCCAATCCCCCTGCCGGAGCAGGACACCTAGATCAGATCACACAAGAACGCATCCAGGCGGGCTTTGAATGTCTCCAGAGAAGGAGACTCCACAACCTCTCTGGGCAGCCTGTTCCAGTGCTCTGGCACCCTCACTGTAAAGAAGTTTTTCCTCATACTCAAGCGGAACCTCCTATGTTCCAGCTTGAACCCATTGCCCCTTGTCCTATCACTAGATGTCACAGAGAAGAGCCTGGCTCCATCCTCCTGACACTCACCCTTCACGTATTTATAAACATTAATTAGGTCACCCCTCAGTCTCCTCTTTTCCAGGCTAAAGAGACCCAGCTCCCTCAGCCTTTCCTCATAAGGGAGATGCTCCATTCCCTTAATCATCTTTGTGGCTCTGCGCTGGACTCTCTCCAGCAGTTCCCTGTCCCTCTTGAACTGAGGGGCGTTTTAAAAGGGGGAAAAAAAAAAAGAAGGTGAAGAAGGAAGGAAAATCTCTACACACATTCTGAAATCTGTCTACAAAGAAGATAGTTAATAAACAGAGAGAAGGCTGAAGCACATGATACTAAAAACACCTAAAAAGAACCAAACAAAACACTCCCACCCCCAATGGAACAACCCCAAAAAAGGAAAGAAAGAAAAGAACAGCAGTGAATTTTCCAAGTTTCAGGAAGCAGTGCAAGTGAGGATGCCCTGACTGGTCCCTAAAGTGTTTAAAGGCAGACTGGTGATTTTCAATGTTACATGAATAGTTGTGAACTGGGAAGGTACAGAAATGTCCTTCCCAGGGCCAGAAGTGAGGACTAGGATTACACATGCAGACCTAATCACAAAACTACTGAAGGCATTTACACAGTTTTGCACATGTCCACCTTCAGCAAAACACTTGTGGTTGAACACATGTAAAACCATTTGCAGGACTGGAAGCTAACAGCGAGATGTCATGGTGTAACAAAACAGATCCGTCAAGTACCTGGCTCCCTTAGGACCATCGGTTACTCTTTTTTCTTGTTTACCACAACTGGCTACCTCTGAAGTTTGCAACTTGGCCCAAACCATGGGTTTTGTCCCTGCTCCCAGTGTTTTCATGCATTTTATATCAGATAGTGGACAAAAGCAAAAGCAGGAGGCCCAGCAAGGTGTAACACACCGTTCACTATGCTGTAGGAGGCAGCTCCCCCTCCCTTGATGAGCTCCAAGGCTCTTCCCTGCTGGCCCCTGCCTGGCCATGGTGGGGGAGGCAAAGGTGCCCTTCCCAGACTGCTCAGCCAGGGCAAGGGTTCGCCTGCTCCCGTCGTGTTGTTCTGGGGAAAAAGGAGAACTGAAACCTGGTGTCCCGCTTCCTGGCAGAGCACGGTAACTGCCTGGTGGTTGTGCAAGACTGGACAGTACCAAACTGCTAGTGGTTTTAACAAGAGTGATCTAACCTGCCAGGATTTGTGTTCTGATGCTGTCAGTGTGCGTCACTTTTGCCTAGGGCATGACTAACACCATAGGCTACTCTGCTGCCTGCAGAGAATCTCTGTGGCCCAGAGTTTCTGATTTTTTGCCTAACTTAGACTTCAAACTGAGTATAAAACTGCACGATGCACCTCTTTGCAGTCTGTGTATGCCTTGACTAAAGAAGCCCCAGCAGTAGGACCATGTCTCCTTGCCTGAGCCTGAAGTGACATCCCTTCCAAGTCTAACCTCCTGCGCTTTGCTAAAACTACTCTCACATTTACTATTTATCTCAGGCTGAATTTTGGCCCAAACCAAAGATTTTTTAAAGCATTTGAACTCCAAACTATTTGGTCTGGCATCAATCCACAACAGGGAGTGATTTTTTTTATTTGTTCACTGAATCAAAACATCACTTCTTAGAGTTCCTAATTTCGCAGCCACACACAAACAGTAACAGATGGGGAATGCCCAGGAGCACAAACACGATGAGATTGGTTCAAAACCCCTAAAATTTAAAGAGGACCAATCTTCCTACAGTGAACTGCATTATATTTAAGTTGAAGAAACTAACACTGTGGGGTGGGGTGGGGGGGCAGAGGTTGGGAGGCTGAAAATAAACAATCCAGACTTGTATCTGGTTACCTGGCATATCCAGAATCTGTGTAACTCAAATATGCAGATGCGAGTACGGCCGGAGTTCCGAGTAACAGGAACTCTGTGACAGCTTAACTTCAGGGAAAGGAATTTGGTGCTGTACCACTTCTGTCCACAGTGTACAGAGGTAAAACAGATCTCCAAAACAAAGCTCTTATATCCTGTAAGAGCCACTTCTTTACACAGCTACTGTTAATTTTCTGAAATCCAGGATAAACTTCATAGCTTACTGTACTACAGGAAGAGTCATCGTCCTTCTATTTTATGTCAGTATTTTGATAGCCTTTGTGCTATCTTTGTAGCAGATGTAACACGATGCCATATTTTCTTATCAGCAGAAAAGGACCAAGAAAAAGAAACAAGGCAAAACCAACCTCTCTGATGCCTCACAAAATATTTTCTATTTCAAGTTTTCCTACAGAAAGGGAAGGTTGATTGTATCCAGGCAATCACAGATTTCACAGACTGTAAGAGGTCATTGCAATTTGCAATAAAAGGAAAGTGCTGTTAGTCATGCAAAGGGTGACCCCTGTGTCCCTGCCTGGCCCTAGAAGCACAAATGATGAACTACCAGTGGCCACTCCCCACAGCCGCTCTTCTTGGAATTGTAACATCTGATACGTAAAACCCTTTCCTTCCTCACCGATGAGGTTTTTGCTGGGGACCCTTACATCTTTGAAAAAGATCTGAGCTGTGTCTGATGACCTCATGCCTAGTTTGTCTATCTTTTTAGCAACATGAACCCCTGAAGAAGAAAGGGATATTAGAAGGGCCACAAAAAATAGAAGCACTGTGTACAATACAAGTACAGCATTTTAAGAAAGCGAAGTTTGCAGATGTGAAGGTATGTGCCAAGACTACAGCAAAACAGTATTCTGGAATTTAAGAGTAAAATAGCCCATTATCCTACTTTTAAGCGTTTTTCCATTTTATTTAACCAGCAAACCAGAAGTTGCAATTGTAAAGGTCCCACTTTTCATTATGTCTCCAAATAATAATTGTGTACTAGTAGTAATAATCTTACTTCATGCACATCTTGAAACTGCAATATTTATTTGCTTAGGTTTGATTTTAGTGCACTATATTAAAATGCTGGAATTCCATTTAGCAGTATTTTCTTTGTGCCTGCACTGCAGTGAAATAATAAAGAAACATTTAACAAGCTATGTTTTAAGCTGCAACTAGAGAATTTCTGCTCCTGGAAATCCTCTTCCTTCCCTCTCTTCCATATTTATCTTCACCTTTCTAGCCTATTCTGATCTTTTCTGGTACCTGTAGAAGAGAGAGCTTGTAATCACGCCGCTTTTTCCTAAGAATTAAAAGGTTAGACTCACATTCATAAATGCTACAAACACACAACAATCCATATCAACTCCAAATTTTGTTAAAACTATGTATTTTATGATAGCTTACAAAATATTGTTTAATTAATCTAAGTAGTCACAGAGGGTTCATAATGGTCACAATTCATTTGTCTGAATTTTCCTGTGGACATTCTTGTGAAGAGGGTTTGCTTCCCCACAGACCTCCCTGCACAGCACTGACTCTGACCGCATGGGCAATAGTCTGTTGGAGATGAACTTGGTACCTTCAGGTTTGTCTACATAAGACTTCACCTCCCTAGGCACACCAGGTAGGACTCATACCTGTTGTTTGTTTCTTCCTAACCGCAAGTTCTTTCTTGCTATGGTTCAGATACAAGCATGGCTTACCACTGTGCCATGAGAGTTCAACAGACATCCACTGATTTTTTGCAGCAACTCCCTTGTCTTCAGTTTCACCTCCTTGTTGCTCTGGGGCTAATGGGAATATTCAGGATGGAAGTCAATAATGTTTTAGAGGTAAACTGAGGCCAACAACCAGCTATGAAGATTTGTCCAAATCATCCTGATTACATCTGCCAAGCCAATATACGTAAAAAAAGTCCTCCAAATCAGCATGTATGTCTTTGCAGAAAACCAAACATTTTACTACCCACATACTACCACATAGTATTGTGGTAATATTTTTCTTTTATTCTATTTTTTTTCCAATCCTCTATTACTCTCTAATATGGCTTAGTAGGAGTTGGTCACTGCACAGATTGTTGTGGTCCATTTCTGTACTTGTTTGTACCTTGCTATCCTTCATGGCTTTCAGTGAACATCTCTTTCTGAAATAATACAGACATCTCTACTTCTACTGACAGGATACCTTCAGCCACGTGACAATTACTTTGGTTTTGCAGGCAGATGAAGCTGGCAGTCATTTCCTTCAAATTCACTCTCTCCAGCTGCATTGAATAAGGTTATGGAAAGTTTCGTCTCTCAGCAGAGATGAAACACTGGCACTGTTTCCAAATGCCAAGACTGCTCTCAGAATATAGTCCACATAGACTTCCACATCTTCCACTCAAATTTTTTCTCCATCAGCAAATCTATAAACAGATTATGTGTTAGAAATACTTGCTTTGATATGTGTTCAACGTAGGAAGAAAATCAGGACAGCTGTATAAAAATTTTTGACTCTTGGATTGAAAATTATCCATAAATTTGCAGCCAGTCATGCCAAAAAAAGCATCTGTGGTTTGTTTCTGTATTAAAATCAGAGTTAAACAAACACACACTGAACCACTTACAGGCCCAAATGATTTCTGGAACATCTTTTCCCATCGGAATATTACTGCTTGGTTTCTTTGACAGTCTCAGAGATCATGCCTTCAGTCTACTCCCAGATGCTTTTGTGCAATCACTGCTCCTCACCCATGTGAAGATGGGCTTCCTTCTCTTGTTAGTGGGTGGTTTACTAAAGACTCTGCTGGAAATAGTACAACTGCAGCCAGTTCTTTAAATTGCTAAATCAATCAATATTGCTAAACCAGATCCACATACTGCAACAACTACTGAAGAAACCCCTTAACAGTTTGGTTAGAGGAGCTGAATGTGTTAATGATTTCTATTTGTGCTTCTTCCACATTGGATTGTATGTTCACATTTCCCGAATCCAGCAGCATCCCCGCTTTGTTGTGCCTTACTGGTTTCTCTTGCTCTTAGATTACTCCATGTTTCTCATCCAGAAGGAGGCCAAACTGCATCAGCCTCATGTAGTGCCCCCTCTGTTGCTAGCACATACTTTACATTTTCTCTCTCGTGAAGACAATGACACATAATCGTCTCTTTGGCTACAATATGGGCATCAAAAATCTTCCTTTACTTAGTTTAATTATCTTCATTCTCTTCGTAAGGGGTACTACACACTAAAAATTACCACCATCAGAAAATATCATCTGCCTTGATAACTCCTAGAGTTTGTCTGTATTAAATAAATCACAAGCCATCCAATAACACACAAATCTCAATCTAGCAAGGCAAAGTGCTTGACTTACTAAAATCACTAACAGAGCCATTTGTGTGCTACTTGCACCAATATCACTGAGATGGATTGCTTTAGCTCCTCCTGGGCAGTTCTTCCCAGGCATCCTTGATTTTTCATTTTCTCCCACTCTTCCAGCCTTCTGACAATCTATTTCCTATATTCTATTTTGAGAGAAAGGCAGTTGCTGTCCCTGACACCATTTAGTGCCATTACAAATGGAAAGAGACATATTTTAAATTGCAACCTGAGAAACATGCTCTTTCCCCTTTCCTGGATGCTCTTCTCTTTATTATCTCCTCCTCACAATTTACCCTAGTGCTATCTGAGGACTCAGAGGACAAACCAGTGCACATAGTTACCAGATTAGGGCTGCAAGCCTTTTGTCTATGTCTTACAAACAGACATTTTACAACTTGTCAGATTCTCTTTCATCATATGAGAATTTCAGCTTTTTTAAGACATCATTCGTATGAGGAGTATTCACCTGATTGAGTATCTACTGTGAATCCACACTGCAGTTATCAAAATTCCCTTTATGAGAGATGTATTCATCAGGGTCTGTCAAACCTAGACCGTAATTTGCTTCACTCCAGAGTAGAGACTGTACACACCAAAAATTAGAAGAAGCAAATCCCACCTCATATCTCCAACAAACTACCAGCTGCTGAAGTTACTAATTTGCCTTCAGACTTGGCAACTTTTTTCTTTTATTTTTTAATCACCACATTATACAAGCATGAAACAATTGAGATTTTGGTGAAAAACGCTGGACTAGTCTCCCATGTCTTCCAGCTTCCTGCAAAGAATAAGCTACCACTGTGCCATGGATTCCTTCCTTCCTCTGCCATATAGGCTGATGACTGCAGCAGTTAATCAGAGATAACACACTCGTTCTTGAGCTTTGACACACATACATCTACCTACAGACACTTGATAGCGCATCATTCAGTGATGTCCTCCAGACACTTCCCATACAGTCTCAGTCTGCTGCCCTTAAGGAGCACAATCTTTGGCAGACAGACATCCTTAGGATGTGTCAAAACAGCTCGAGCTTCCTCCTCCCATCTGTGTCAAATGGCAGACTTTTCATGCTTTTCCTCTCTGTCTTCCTGAAAAATCTCCTTTCCAATATGACCCACCAACTGAGCACAATCAACTTCTTAAGACATCATTTCAAAGGGTCACCGGTATTGGTACAGTGACCCTTTTGGAGGTTGATATCTGTATCAGGTGGAAGAATGAAAGCACATACACTTTGAGGAGTGCAATTTTTGTTTCTAGGAAGACTTCTATACCTCTGCAGATTAGCTTCAGATGACCCAGGCAATTTTTCTACTCCAAATCTATTTACTGCAGGTAAAGTGGGTCTGCGTATAGGATATGTGACCTAACAACACCCCCTCCCCCCCACCCCAAGGCTACAATGACTTGCATGTCTTTTTGCAGTAAGCAAAGTAGACGAAGGCCGCCAAGTCAATTTCTGTATATTTGATCTGCCTCTAACAGTGGGTTGTCTGCTTTGCTGTTTTTGGAAAACTGATCTCAGAGAAGTAGTATTGCACTTACACTCTGACCCTTTTATGAAAAATCACACAGAGGACTTCACACAGATGGTTGATAAATGAGTTTGCCTGGAAATTCAGGGAGATTCTGGCTGTGAGTTACACATTTGCTCAGGACTTATCAATATGGACAAACTCAACAACTAGTGAAGCAGCTCAGGTCCATCTTCTGTAAGCTCCCATTCAAAGCCTGTCTTGCAGGAGCAGAGGTTGTAGAAAGTCACAACCTGCTCAGAACTTGCTTAATTCCCAAGGCAACTCACTTACTTGCTTGACTTACTCCATACCGAAATTCACTTGCAAGATATTCCCTTAAGTAGCTCTCATCACCCTCTTTTGCAACATTGGAGACCTGGGTTTTGTTCTCAGTCTGATTCATTAGGTGAACATATAGACCTTCATTTCACTGCCATGGTGGTGTCCCTACAACACTCGAAATGCTGATAATGACATATTTTCTAAATAAAATACTTTGAATTAAATGAATATAAATGCCATAGTTTTTAATATTTATATCAATATATAAACACATTAATATACATTATTATA